CCACGGCAAACAGCAGCTAGACAGAAGACATTAAAAATTTTTCATAAGGGGAAAGACCAGAGATTTACTGTTGACACCCAGGTAACCATCTTAGTGCCCGTACAACCCTCTGGTCTTTCATGACAATGAAAAAAATAAGCCCAAGATTTCTTTGTTCTGTAGGCTGATCCTGGAGTTGCAGATAACTTTAGAAGCAGAGAGTGAGGTCCAATAGAGCTTCATGTGGTCCAGCTAAATATAATGATGCAAAGCCAAACAAGATGGCTCTCAATGCAATGCCTGAGACAACATCGCTGATGACCTACAATCATGATGGGGAAGAATATAAGTTTTACAGGAAGGTTGCCAACATATTTCATATGGACAAAAAGCTTTCAGTGTATGCAGCTCACCTGAGAAAAAAATATTGACCCTATCATCCAATTCTCAAATTTCCGTACATTTGCAATTTGAAGAAAAGACAAGAACAGCATAATGTCACACTATATTCTTTATGGTCTGGTATTTTGGTCAATCTGCCTTGATGACCTTTGTTGCGAGCTATAAAGAAGCAAAATTTTAGCTGTGCAAAATCTGCTTTCTATAGTTTCTGTACCAGAGAGGGACATGAAGAATTTTGATATATTCAGAGTTTGAGAGAAGTATGGAAAGCTGATTGGGATTAGGATAAAATTTCTCAACAAATTGCACAGACTGTTATCCAGATGTCCATTGATGTATCACTGAATGGAGGCGATGGCTAAGTGAGATTATGTTGGACCATCAATCCAGAGGCCCAGGTAATGTCCCAGGAATGTGGGTTTGAATCCTGCCGAAGCAGATGGAATTTGAAATCAATAAAAGTATTTGGAATTAAGACTCCAGTGATGAGAATGAAACCACTGTCAATTGTCAGGAAAAACCCATCTGGTTCACTAATGCCCTTTAGGGAAGGAAGCTGCTGTCCTTACCATAGTCTGTGACTATGTGTGACTCCAGACCCATAACAGTGTGGCTGACTTTGAACTGCCCTCTGGGCAATAAATGCTCGCCTGGCCAGTGACATTCATATCCTGTGAATGAATTAAAAAAAGGATGAATGTTTTCTAAAGATCTGGCTCTAGCTGAGTTTCACTACAGTTGCACAGCTTCACTGCACAGTGACTCATTGTTGCCCTTCTATCCACCACAATTCTACACATAAAATAAGTATAGTAGATATATCAATTCTGATGAATGGAGCAACTTTATTGATGCCAGAGAATTAACACTCAAGCACAAATTCAATCAACAATCTTTTTGACTGAGTCTGTTTGCATTCATTAGGAACTTGGTGTTCCATTTGGTGGTTTGTGCAGACATGTTCTCCATCATTGTGGAATGTTCAGCAGTCACAATGGGTCCCAGGCTTAGGATGTACTTGTGAAAGTCTGAAATGCTGAAAGTCCAGTATGAGATGCTGCAATTTCCCTCTTGTCTGTCCTCCTCCATAGTGAGATCGGTGATTCTCCTGGACAACCACATACAGCTGGATAAAAACCGAAAGAACTGCAGATGCTGTAAATCAGAAACGAAAACAGAAGTGGCTGGAAAAGCTCAGCAGGTTTGGCAGCATCTGTAAAGAGAAATCAGAGTTAATGTTTTGGATCCGGTGACCCTTTCTCAATCAGACCCGAAATGTTAACTCTGATTTCTCTTCACAGATGCTGCCAAATCTGCTGAGCTTTTCCAGCAACTTCTGTTTTAGTTTCACATGCAGCTGGAGGTGTGTACAGAGCAGCATGCCATGGCCTTGCCCTCAAGGAAGCAATAACAAAGCAAGAGGAGGACAGGGAGCATGGATTCTCTATTAAATCCTTTTCCCGTTTTGACCAGCAGGGAAGCAAAGGTGTAGTTTGCAAGAGAGGACTAGGTCCTTCTGCCTCTGGGGACTCTCCTCAGTGCACTCCAAGCTTGGACAGTGACACCTCAGCACCACCCAACAGTTATACCAGCACCTTAAGTTGCTACGATAACAGATGAGGTTTCTGTATCTATGTAGGGACCTGACAAGGCTCAGGTACCCAGAGAACAGCCAGCAAGGTCATCATAAGTCACAGGGCAGCATGGTCAGCAGCCTGCCTCCACTACAGATTACAGTAAACAGGAAGCACTAAGCACAAATATGTACAGAAGAAAACACATTTGATGCAGTTGGGTAGTGAAATAGTTAGTGATTCTCTACTTGTATGTTTTTATTAATGTAATGAATATCTGATTTGGTTCATGAAATTCTTTATCCAGTGTTGATGACCCTCTAGCAGTGCACAATGGCATGTACCATCCAAACACCTAGTGAAGGGGCATGAGTACTCTCCTTTGCACATTAAAGAGCAACAGTTACTATAAGGAGGCACTCTGGGTTTACAGTAAGTAACTTGCTTGTGCTTGCAGAATGGATCTTGATTTGGCAGGATAGCTAAGTGCTAAAAAAAGGAGAAATAAATGAGTACAGGGCCCTTGCAAGGCTCCCTAGCTCCTGGGGCTTGGTATCCTCCAAGCGGCCCTTTATGAATGTCAGAACTCTGGATCGCACTCACCTTCCTTCTTGCCTGATGATAACTTACACTCCAGGATATATTCAGCAGCCAGCACTACTGCCTTCTGCTACACCAGGTTATGTAGGGAGTAGCAGATCAGTCCCTGTGCCTGAATCTGATGTTGAAGAGATCCATGGTCTTCTCAATGGTCACTCTGTTTGCTGTGTAGCTCATGATATAGCATCTTCAATCCTTGGGTTTTTCACTTCTGAAAGCAGCCATTCTTCAATGCACATCCCTTGGTGTCAAGTATCCACCTTTGCAATTATGCCAGGGGGGCTGTGGAATGACAAGGTGGATGGAAGGTGGTTGAAAGCTGTGGAATCTGAAAGTGCTGGAGAATGTAGACACCATGGCTGCCCCAAGATATGAAGTACACACCTGAACCTTGCACTGGCAGTGGTTACAGAAGTATTGGATATGTGTTGATGAGGAAATAAAATCCTTTCTGATTAATGAAGACTACTGCTGGGCTTAAGGAAGAGCCTCGATGTGCAGCTTATGAAATTTTGAATGTGACAGAATCTAGCAATGGTGCTGAATCCACTAGCCCACTTGTCTTGACTGAATTGGCTCTTGAATCAGCTTCCCTTGATGAAATTGCTGATTGGGAGCTATCACACACCTCTCAAGTGTATACCTGAATCAAAGGTCCAGAAATTCTGGGTCACATGATGGCCGTTACAAATGTAGCTCACTTTCTCTATCATAGTTTGTGCATAGATTGGTCTCTGTCTCTCGGGACAGGTACAGTTTTCAGCAACACTGCCATTTCATCCTTTGTCTATAGACCCTGGCCACCAGGTGCTTTCATCTCCATGCTGGTTTAGTAGTAGTAACATGATGTTGGTTGCAATCCTGAAAGTAAGAAATTCCAAAATTCCTGGGGAAGACAGTGCCATGGAATGTTGCATGTACAGCCTGTGTGCCGTTTTTCAATAGTATCAATAAAGAATGTTTCACAGGCCAGGTAAGTAGTGGCTTATAACATGGCCAAGCCCTAGGGAATCAGTATAGCCTGAGTGGCAGCACTATATGAACAAACCTCGTCCTTTTAGTTCCTAGGATAGGTGAGGTCATTTGGACCCACCTCACTGAATGTGCACTTGCTCATGGTGATAGAAGTTTCCTTCATCCTTCAGTTGTCTGGGGGGTAATCATAAAGCATTGCTATATTAAGTAGATTTACTCAAAGTTCAATGTAGTGTATAACAATAGTTACAAAATGTTAAATCAAACTAAAGCATTAGAAACAAAATTGAAACAAATTATAAGGAAAGAAACCCTAAGAAGTATGATCTGGATCGATGTTCTATGAAATGCAGCTTTTAAAAACTCAGAAAGTCCCCCCCTTTGTCTAGACATCTGGTGCATTAACACATTGTCAGTTGACAGCAACTAAGGAAACTATCATAGAATGAGCCAACCCTATTAATGCAATTTCCAAAGGTCCAATGAAGCTTACAGTTCCCTTAGCCAACTGCTCCCCCTGCCATTGCCCAGTGCACAAACAGAAGGCAGCAGTTGACAGTTGAAGTTGAATGGTCAACTGCTTCTCCAAGTAGGTTTCGCATCCTTTCCATCCATCCAACTCTAGGCAGCAGCCAGCACCACCAGCATTCACCACCACAACATACAGCCTTGAATCTGATGGCTCATCCAAATACACAGCATCAGCAGCCAGGTATACATGTTCGAGAAATATCTGAAATACTTGAAAATATGTGTTGTTCCTTATTGGCTACTCTATTCAATGAAAAGAGTACAGTATTCATTACTGCTGCATTAAGTAGCGATGACTCTGGGGACAGTAAGGCTTCTGACCAAGTATGTTGCTGCAATTCAAATAGTCAGTACTGTTGATGTTTGCCAAAAAAATTAGCAGAGTGTCAACAGAATTGCAACCTTAAGCACAATGGCAGGTTAAAAATAGGTGAAAAAGAGATGCTGCTGAAAGCATATTGAAAACAGGAAGGTATTTTGTATCAGGTAGCCAGTGTGATTGTATTACAGCTTCATTTTCAGCTGTGACCAGTACATCTAACACCTTGCTATTATTTATTTATTCCATGTGACGTAATTAAATAGCAAAGAAAAACATGGTTGTAAAGCAGAGTAGCTCAAAGGCTCAATAGAGTAGGTGCTAATATGTAAGCTTTATCTTACTGAGCTACGCACTGCTTGTGTCAAACAGTTCCGTAGCCCAGAATATTATTGCACTTTCCTTCCCTTTTTCTTTAGTTAGATCTTTAATTTCCTAAAGTTATTGGATGTCCTTTGGAACATCATCAGGCATCTTGTCAAAATTGTTCATTCTTCATGTACAGCTCAAACAATGCTTGCAAAAAGATGTGTTATCAGGAAAATGTGATTGCTGTAGTCTAGCCTACAAGTTTGTGAAATATAACTTTATATCAATTGATAGAAAAAAGAAGTACTTACTGCGGTATCCAGTGATAATCCAACTCTATGAGTGAAACCAGTGTTTCTGTCAGCCTTATTTGCCACAGCAGGTAAAAATTCATCTCCCTGCATATCAATCACATTTTTTTAAATTTCAATTTTATGTTTAAGGTTTCTAATCCTAAAAGAAAAAAAAAACAGTGCAGCCAACTAGGACTGTGCATGTGACACTGGGAGATGCAATTTCTACAACCACATATAATTTGCAAAGATATGGTGGTTTATATATTGCCATACTAGACCAACAAATTCCATAGTGGCATACAGTGAAAATTTATCCAACAAGTTTGGTAAGTTGTGGTCTAATACCATAAAAATAACCTGAATGTCGCTGGAGTATTGTAAAAAGCCAACTGGTGCACTATAATGTTTTTCAGGGACAGAACCTGCCATTCTTAAACTCTAGTCAAAAGCAAACCTAGTGTTTGACATCAAATAACGTCAAGCAAGCCATTCAAATGAACAAGCAATTGCTATAAAGGAGAAAACTCACCATTACAATTTCAAAAGAAAAGTAAGATTGGCAATAAATGTGCCCAACTGTCAGCATCAACCACTCTTCAAGAACAAATAACAATAAAAGATTTTGTAGCATAACAGTTCTTCAATTAAAACAGTTAATGGAGAAGGCCATGTTTAAATGAGATATCAATGATGCATGAAGTTTGTAATAGCATTTGAAGACATGAATATTTTCATATTTACAACTAAAACTAATTAATTGAGGGAAAACTGCATTTTACTTTAGGGAGAGTGAAAATTCCCTGAAAATAGTCAGATCAGAACAAGGAGTTATTCATTACCACTGAACAATCAATGGAAAGACTCACCCAGACATTAATCTAGGGAATTCTATGGACATTGCTGCGCATAAAATGGTTACTGTATTTCAATGCAAAGTAATTCCTTGTGGTTGAAGTATTTGAAGTCATTTCTGTAATGTGATCAAATAAATATGCATCTGCACGCATAAATACCTAAACCTTCAAATAGGAAGCACCTTCTACATAACTGCCTTATGCCCCTAAATATAATGAAGGCCTTTATTTATACAATTTACAGCAGGTCTCTAATACCTTTTGTTATTCTGATTTATATTTCAGTAATAGTTTGCTCCCCCATTCTTTTTGTTAAACTGAGTTTAACTAGGTCTCTTTGGGATCTCCATGTCTCTCACTTCAGGAGAGTGACCTAAATTAAAGTCTATCCATCCTGTAGCACTAACACATTTTTTAAAAACAGGGTTTTCAGGCCCATATTGCTGCTAATCTTTCCTTTCCAATGGTTGCGTACCATTTGTTTGTGTCTGGCCAGTAATCTAAAGACAAAACAAACTGGATTTGTTTGACCCGACAGTGGTCCTTTCAAACACACACACATCTTGTTTAGAGTCAGATCTACCTGTTTAACTTTTCAACACTTGTGGGACTCAATGGTTGTGTTCTTATTTAGCAGTACCAGGGATAAACATGTAATCCACGTTGCAAAATGGTTCCTTCTCTGCCTTCGAGGATGCTGGTATTGAGTGCTGGAAGATTTTTGGTGCAGAGGATATGCTGAAGTAATAGCTGATCAAAACAACATGACTGGGATCTTTTATTTCTCCTGGGAAATGTTCAGCTCCAATTCCTCCATTCTCAATTTATATACTTTTCTATAATTGTTGGAAGCCTGTTCGAGCCTTCCTTCTTGAAGTGGAGTTTTAGATATGCAGAACTGTAAAACAACGTCCTTTCTTGCTGCAGAGAAAGTATTTGACTCCTTGGCTGATCATTCCACTCTGCGGTAACTTTTTTTGATGCCTCATCAGGAGCCTGTCAAGTTGGCTGAAATAGTATTTTCAATAGTCTGGTTTTATCATGATTTTCTCAGTTGGGACTCCCAAATTTGGGTCAAAATCTCCCTAAAGTTCATTCTGATTCTGCTTCTGTAGCTTCTGTAACTTCAGAAGTTAAATCATCTTTAGTTTGCAAAACATCAAATAGCACCTCATCGAGTACTAATTGAATAATCTTTTAAGCTCAATAGCCAGAACTATTTAAAAACCGAAAGAACTGCAGATACTGTAATTTGTTATTCAGTAGAAATGATTTAGAAGTGAATTGTTGATTCCTTTGGCGTCTGCCTTCTTTGGTTGTACCTGACCCATTCAATTATAAAATTCTTCTTGGGGCTGAAATAGGAACATTGAGTCATAAGTCTCTGAACAATGCCTTAGATTGCTGGGCCTGCTCAGATCTTTGCCTTGCCATGACATCATCTGCTATCAGCTCTATGGCCTACAGGATACATGGTGGGGTTTTGTTTTGCCTTAATTGCCCTGGGACCCTGAAGCTCTTTCACAGTTTCCACTTCCACAGCTCCCATTGCAGTGGCCCATCAATATCACTGAACGACTGGAGAAGTGGTAGCGGATATTGAGTTGATGCAGACATCCTTACCAGTTCAAGTTGTGCTTCCTATCAAAGTACACCTTTCTTTTGCTTCCTTCCTCGTTTCAAAGTTGAGCTTAAGTTTTTTTACATCATCGGTCCTAGGTTTTCAGCTGTGAGCTTTAAACTTACAACATCACTTATTTCAAACTACTGCTGTCATGTTTTGCATTTTCATAGACTCTACGAGTTATGGCTGAACTAAACTCCTCTAACTCTGTGAGTAACTTGGACATAGGGTGTAGTAAGATTTTATTTAGACACTTTATTCACAGCTAATACAATCAAAACCCTGTGATAACCTACATGTCCACTCCATTCTCCGTGGCTGACTTTCTATTTAGCCCCTATGTTTACAGTGTCAATTAGTCAGTCTCTTCAATTTAAACATTAAAACATACCTCTATAGCACAGCCTTAAAACAATAGTGGAAGAGAAACTATGCGGGACGTGAGCTAGTCCTCTGTACATTTTTCAGAATAATCAATCAACATTGAGAGAGATCATGTGATACAACTTTCAATGTGGTTGTTATTCAATTAAGATTGGAGCAGAGAACATAACAAGCTGCCGGGTTGACGATGCCTCTTCATCTCGCTTCTCAATCTTTCATCTCAATTCTGAACTCTGGTACTCTGAAAAAACATGTCAAGGCCCCACAGCAGACAGAGTTTCAACTAATAGCCTTTTGGTTTTCTGCAGCAGTGATTCCAGGAGAAAAGCATATGTACGGGCCACAGAATTGCCTCACTGAAAACCAAAATCAGATCAGAGACAATCAGTGAGCTACAGCTTACTTGGTCTTGTTTAATCTGGTACTCTGTCTTGAGTGTCTGTTTGCACTCATTCATGGGAAAGAAGGAGGTATTTGTACATTTCAGAAACTTTTTTTAAACCTGGGTGGGTTTTAGCATAATAAAGCTAACCTATATCATGTTTCATTTAAGAATACCATATTTTAATTCCCACAAACTGCACGCAGCCAGGCTATTAGTTGAAAGTCTCTATCTGCTGTAAGGACATACTGAACTGGCAACACAACATTTTTTTAAAGTCAAAACCAACTGGGGTCAAATGAGGACTGAGAAAAGAGTCTACCCATTTTCACCTATTCCTAACAGTACTATCGACCTCTCCTCCAAAACTGAGAAAGGCTACAGCAATAGTTGTCCAGATTTTCCAATGGTCAGACAGTTGTTATTTCAGCTTAAGTCAGAGTTACACATGGAGACCCTGACCTGGGGAATTGTTCGGGAAAATCCACTGGACAATTCCCCTGCACCTGAAGCCTTCTGAAAGTCACCATTAAAATTGGAGACTTCAGAGTGTTCCACATAAATTAAGTAAAATACTTATTAAGTACATAATCTCACTCTTGAGTAACTATTAACTGGCTCCATATTTATCTCAGATATTGCCCCAACCTCCCCTGAAACCACTTATACCCCTCAGACCCTGAGCCAAAGACACTTTCACGCTGCAGATCCAACCTGACACCACCTCCTATGGATCTGTCACATCCCAACTATCAGATGTAACCTGATTCCCTATAGGTGAACTCAACCTAACCCTATCCCTGCCCCAACACCACCCCAACACACCCCCTCGCAGCACCATTGGACACAAACCCATATGACCTGACACCCACCCTGGCCGCCTCTACATCAGAACCAAATTCTCTTAGCGTCCCTGCTTGCACTCTGGAATTCTAACCAATTGGCATCCTACGTGCTTGGTACCCTATCCCCTACTTCGCTAGCCCTCTATCCATCTGGTGCCCCAACGACCTAGAAACCTACTTCTTACACATCTGGCACCCTGCCCCTGGCACCCTTTGCCCCACCCACATGGCTTCCTAACTCTAGCTACATACCCTCTCCCCAGCTGGCACTGGACCTAATGGAAACCCTGGCATCCTACCTTCCTGGCACCCTACATACCAGCTTTCTGCCCTCACCCAACCTGACACTACCACTGACGGACCTGTCACATCCCAACCATCAGACCTGTCCTGACTCCCTACAGACAAACCAAACCTGACCCCTTACCTCATATCCCACAAACCTTATATACTTAATGTTTGATAGCAGCTATCAAAGTGACTGTCAGAATGTTTAAATGTCAGAATTCGTCAGCTGAGTGCTGTAACAAGGGCATGTGCTTTGCCTTCCTCTTACAGTTCTGTGCTATGGTAGAATTTTCATAATGGAAGTATGGTTCCACATTTCTTAGGGAGTCCTGGGTGGAATCTCCTCTCAGAAATGCAAGACATTGCCACTCCTCAGAAAATCTAGTACAATATGTTAAAACTTAAATAGGTAAGAATTGTCAGTGCCTTTTCCTTTCCTATGAATTGGCATCTCAGACAAAGGAATAAACTACAGACAGCTATAAACATGGTGAATAGTGTAAACAAATTGAAGCATCTGGCATTTTCAACTATGATTCTCTGAATACCAAGTTGGTTTCCAGTTGCATAATTGAGAAAACAGTTTGTTTTTAGTTGTATTTCCATCACCTCAAATCTGTCCTGCCTTGAGCATGGAGTTACATACATGTAAAGTTCCAGAAGGTAGATAGTCTGATTTTGTTATGGAAATTCCAGTTGGTCGATCTGTGCAATACCCCTAAAAGAAAACAAATTCTATTCAAATGGAACTGTAACAAATAATTTAAAAATTCCACGCCATTATATAGACAAAACAAATGTTGCATCAGGAGTGCAAATTTCTTTCAATTATAATATATACAAGACAAACCCATTTGCAGAAAACAAGCAACCCCAGTCTTGGGAAATGTTCCTGAAAAAAATAGTTTTGTCGAAGTTTATTGTCATTTGAGGACAGTGCTGAGAGACAGAATTTATCACTCATTGCTGAGAACTAATGTCAATCTGAAGTACTTTCAAGTCAAGGTCAACTTGATTCAATAAGTAGGGATTTTCCGCTCAGTATGAGGTACGTGACATGTCAAACTAGACAGGAACAGGCTGTGACCATTTACAATAACAGCACACAAGAAAGGACTGAATGGAAAGTTTGTGTACTTATGTTACACTGGCAATGGTGGAAATGTTACCAAGCACCCTTTTAGTTTATGTTCAGAAGTTATAATACTTTTTCAGGTAGAATGATATGAAATATTGTCATATGAGTAATGGCATTTACTTTATTCTAACATGGAGAATAGAAAGCAACAGATGTGATGCCTACAAGGTTATACCTGCACTTCATTCCTAGGTAACCTGGGTGAGTGATGAGGAGGCTGTAACTAATTAGTTGATATGTCTAAAATTTCAAATTTACAGCTATTGTTATTTTAATCAAACTGTTTGGCCATTTATGCCTCAGGAAAGGTGGGACTTGAACCCATACCTTCTGGCCCAGAGCTAGGGACATTACCAATACATCGCAAGAACCTTGAGTTTACAGCTATATGCTTGGCCATTTGGTGTTGGCATACATTTGTTTTAAAAGGTTTCAGCCATTTCAATGTAGCCCTAAAATTCACAGGTTTCCTGTAGTTGGAAGTTAATGCAGATCTATTAAAACTATAGGGATGAACTGGGACTGGACATTTCAGGTTTCTCACTTCATTTTCTGGGTGGTCACTGGAAGATCAAATCCAAGAGTACGTGTAAAATATTGTGCTATGGTTTCTTTTCAAATCCTTGTTATCCAAAGCTCCTGATGACAGAACAAAGAAATAGGAACTCTTTTCAAAGTTAATCCTGCCTATTTGCATGCTGAAATCCCTGCCAAGTGCAAAGCTGTGAGGGAAGAGGAAAATCTCACCTTTTATGTGGTCAATGTGGTTCTGTAGGATATAGTGATAACTGAACTGATTTGTGTTGTTGTGGGTCTCCAGAGCAATGTGCCTGAGTTTTCATATCATCCATGTGATTTTCTTTTTAAAAGTGAGTAACATGCTGCTCATAGAATCATGGAAATTTACAGCATGAAACAAGGCCATTCTGCCCATTATGGCTGTATTCATTAAGTAGGAGCTAAACCTACTTTCCTGCTCATCGTCTATGGCCTTGTAAGCACTTTTAAGTGCCAATCCAAGCATTTCTATAAATGTTTTAGGAGTTTCTGCCTCTACCATCCTTTCAGACTGTAAATTCCAGATCTCCACCACACTCTGGTGTAAAATATTCCCCTCTAACCTCTTCTAATTCTACTACCTCTTAAACTACATCCATATCCCTTACTTATAAACCTTCAATCAACATGAAATCAGCCTTTCTTTCCATCCTATCTCGGATACTCTATAGTTTTACACCCTTCAGTGACGTCTCTATTCAATCTCTTCTGTTCCAAAGACTAAAGTTAGCCAATCCAATATTTCCTCATAAATCCAGTTATCTACTCTAGGCAACATCCTCATCAATTTTGTTTGAGCCCCTTTGAATAAAATCATTTCCCCCTTCCTGTCATGGAGTGATCAGAACTGCACTCAATACTCCAATTTTGCTCCACTTTTATCCTGGGCCTGCTGTAATGTTCCAATGAAGCACAACACAAGTTTGGGGAACATCTCATTTTCCGCTTCGGCACTTTACAGCCTCTAGAATGCAATGCTGAATCCCACCATTCAGAGCCAGACCTCATGACATCAGTCCTCCATTTCTTCTTATATTCTTCCCCCAGTAGTTTTGGCTTGTTTATATCTTGTTTACTTTGCTCTCAGGCCAGAGACACATTTTCACACTTCAGCATTTCAATTTACAGTCATTTTACATCTTTATTTCACTTTCACCCCATTTAACAACCCCTTTGTCTTTTGCACTGGGAATATACACCATCTGACTCCTTGCTTCTCCCCATCTTTAACAAAAGTATAAAGATGACCATTTTCCAACACCTATCAGTTCCGAAGAACAGTCATACCAGACTCAAAATGTTAATTCTGTTTCTCTCTCTCTGGATGCTGCCAGACCTGCTGAGTTTCTCCAACATCCTCTGTGTATGTTTCAGATTTCCAGTATCTGAAGTACTTTGCTTTTATTCAAGCATAACATTCCTGTTCACGTTCTCTGTCTTGGCTAATAAAAGCAAGTGTTTCATAAACCTCAAATAAAAGCAAAGCACTTCAAAAGCAAAGCACAAAGTAGGAGATCTGTAATAAAAAACAGAATGTGCTGGGGAAACTCAGCAGCATCTGTGGAGAGAGAAACAAAGTTAACATCTCAAGTCCAATGTGACTTCTTTGGAAGAAGAGTCGAAACTTTAACGCTAGTTCTCTCTCAATAGATGTTGCCAGATCTATTGTGTTTCTCCAATATTTACTGTGTTTTTTATACCTTCTTGAACATCTAACCCACTTGTCCATCTTGAACACCACAGGATCCCTCTGTATCTCTACACTTCTCAGTGTCTTACCACTTATTGTGTATCAGGTCTTGCTAGCCTTCCCCCACAGTCATCATCTCCAGATTGGACTCCATTTGCTGCTGCTCTGTCCAGTTGTTAGAGTACTCTGATATCTACCCCACAATCTATTGTTTCCATTTTCAACCACATGACCAATTTTTTGTGCTGTTTGCCAATTGCTTAATCATACCCATTAGACTCATGTCCAAGTAAACAGTCTTAGAATACAACACTCTGGGTAATCCTAATCCCAAGTACTTACAGTGGTTCAACAAAGTGGCTCACCACCCCTTCATCAAAGGCAATTACAAAATGGGCAATAAATTCTGGCCTAGCCAATGATGCCCACATCCCATGTACAAATAAATAAAAATAAAACTGATATTTACCACAAAATGTAAGTGACCTACTACTATGCCATGCGAAACTCTACTGGCAACAGCAGGTACAAAGATCCAAACTGAGCCAATTTTGGATCAAACCTGCCAGTTTTCCTTGGATCCCATGGGGTTTTTCCTTTTGAGATCCATCTCCAGTACTGTGTGGGACTGTATCAAAAGCTTTGCCATAATCCAGATGGACTACATCCATTACACAACCCTCATCAATCCTCCTTATTACCTCCTCAAATACTGTTCCGTCTCAACCAAGTCTTATTGTTTGCAATTATCTGAGTTCTGTACTTTATCCACTTTTTTAAACCAAGGGAAAGGGCTGTCTGAAACTGTTTACTTAAAGCACTACCCACTCTACAGCACAAATTAGAATAAAACTAAAGCACTTTTTCATCTGCACCAAAATGTGCCTGCTACATTATCTCTTATCAAACTGATATGATTTATTTCCCCCTCATTTCTCTATCAATTGCTCTGAATAACATTACTAATTTGTGTCAAATGTTGATGCCCCAACCTCCAAACAGTTGCTCATCTTTGGCAGGCCATTACATTATTTTCCACAACACTAATTATCATGTCTCTCTTCCTCTCTCAAAGGGAGAAAAAAAGGGGTCACTTCTCTGCAGCATTGTTCTCATCCTGAGGGCATCTGAATGTTCTTTAGAGGTTTTTGGTTCTTGTTGGTCCTTAGCCTATAGCCATTTTTCATGTGCTAGCAGTGAAAAGACAGCCTTGATTGATTTCACCCTATCTCTTTACATTCCCCATGAGAGAATTACATTGATTAAGAGATAACAAGGTGTAGAGCTGGATGAACACAGCAGGCCAAGCAGCATCATAGGAGCAGGAAAGCTGACATTTCGGGCCTAGACCCTTCATACTGTATCGGGCAAGTGTCACTTGATGTCACTACTACTATTATCCGTACTTTACTCCGTACTTTAACATTATGCAGTGTGCTTCTTCTCTGATACACTCATCATCTCAAACTTCTCTCATCTTTAGCACCACCGATGTCTAATGCAGTCATCATTAGAAAATCCCAGCCTGAAAATTTCAGGAATTATTCATGCCTGAAATATAAATGCGGTTGAGAACAGCAAACTGTGTCCATCACTAAATACACACGAGGGAGCACAAAGTTTCAACAACAGTCATTTCAGTTTGTATAATACCAGAAAAGTTAAAAAAAAATCCAAACCCTTCACAGAGGCAAGTTCAGGTAAGTGAGCATCAAGCCAAACAAGAAAAAACTAGACTGAGAGATATTAGGTGCAGGGAATTTTAAGGAAGATCCTAAATTGAAAGAGTTCTTAATCACCATAAATGTTACAATAACTTGCCTCCATTGCTTTCTCACAGTCTCCAGTCAAGGGAAACACAGGAATTGACAGATAGCATTGAAATAGTCTCACAGAGTGAGTGATAGCAAGCAGGAAATTCAAAGTGACCTCACGAGTTGCAACTGAAGGTCGGAATCCATAATTGCACCACTGGATGTTATTAAATGTTCAGGTGAACATTATACATTTCACTCACAATCTGCCAAACGTCTCACTGAAAATCTTGTGTCAACTGCAGTACACTTTTACGTTGGAGCCCCTGGGGCACTCTGTGTGGTTTACCTTCAGAAGAGATTTAAACAAACACTGGGAAGCTGTGCATGTGTTGCATTTTCTAAAAGCATTGTGAATCATTTCAATGTATAACTCACCGGCAGGTCACCTTGGAATGCTAATGGGTGATGGTAAGTGATGGGTTTCAGAGGAGAACCTTCTGTGAACCCGGTGTTCTCCTTTCTCCCCACTGTTTTGTGTTGGGAGAAAACTGTTGATACATAAAATAATGAGTAAAAACATGTCAGTACAAAAAGAATGTAAATGTGTAAAATATAATGCTGCTTCATTCCACGTACATGCTCAGATCACTAAGAATAGATGATGAAATTCATTCCGTCAACCTTGATATATATCCATCAGGTATGCCTACAATTCCTTTATGAAACAATTAATGGTTCATCACTTTTGTTCTTGCACTTATTGATTTGAACTGCAGTGTTTTAAAATTAAAGAAGATAACCTCAGAAATATCTGTTTCCCTTGAGAATTCAGTAGAAAATAGGATTTCCAGTCTGAGTGACACACAGTAGGAACGTGGTAAATTTGATCCCCAGTGTGTGCAAACTAACTGATTCTGAGCCCACAGTTTGTTGTTACAATGGGCGGAATTTTATGCTCCTAGAGGTGGGGATGCTGGAGGTGGAGAAGCAATTTAATTAGACAGGGTGGTGGTATAGCCATGCCCAGCCACATTCCTGCCCCCCACTAAAATGAAGTTCTGAGTGTGAAGGCCCATGGTTGACCTTTCCACTCCACTGCTGATTGAGGTGCCTAAAGTGGCCAATTCAGAATCAGTCTGTTGCCACTGGGAACAAAAACCCAGACTCATGTTGGCCTTTTGCTAAGCAGTGGACACAATAGGTCAAATTCTGTGGGTAGCTTGTCAGCTATGAGATGGAGAAGTGGGAGAGGGGTTCCCTCAATAAAAAGAAATCAATGCCTGTCTGAGGGATTGGACATAACGCAGCTGTATGCTGGCAGCCACTTTGCCTTGGCATCCACCTCCCCTAACCCTCTCACCCCATGTCTCTGAACCCTAGATCCACCCCTCCGATTAGCACACCCCCTTCCACCCCCCACCCCCACAGCATACAAATCAGGTACCTCAGTTCTCAGTAATGCTACATTGCCTTATGGCAAGAACCATGGCTTTCTCTGTGTGCCTACCAAGTGTGAGAGGCCTGCTTCAGATTAGATAGATATCCTTTTGGGCAGGGCTTCAATTCCCAGGGCCTTAGTTATAGCTAAAGGGCCTCTGCCAGTGACCTTACCAGTGACTAACTGGCATTAGGTATTGCCACCCTTGCCTTATAGAGTAAATGTTGGTCTCTCACTAGCTCTCCAGCTGACAAGGCCTGTACTTCCTTAGGATGTCTGAAAATTAGTCCATCTCTTGCAGCTTTATAATTAATTATAAAGATAATTAAGAGTGAAAAAAAACATATCCAGAATACTTAAAGTAATGAGCACAGGAGAGTGGGATAGGAGTTCAAACCAGTGAAAGAAACCTTTAAAGTTGTTAGGAGCATTTTATGCAACACAGAGTAATCAGGGCATGAAATAGATTTACAAGAAATGCAGTTTAAACAAAACTTCAGATTATTTGAGGACATAATTCGATGCTGAAATAGCAGAACTTTCAAAATAGATTCATGAAGTTAGGAATAAAGGCCTTCCTGACTGCAATTAATTTGCGACAAACAATGTTTGAGCCAGTGAGGAAAAAGTAGTGACATGTCCAATCTGTCCATGACAATCCATCATTAACTGAACAGCTTTAGATGTTGAGCTTCAAAATCTCCTCCAGCCACTTCATAGCATGTTCTCACTGGCTTGGCTAGCACATTAAGAAAGGGCAGGGACTGGAGGTCATCGAGTAAGAGCCGCAACTAACTGGTCAATACCTAAGTGAGGGGGTGTCTGGCTCTGGCATTGTCAATAAATCTATCTATCTGTCTGTCTGTCTGTATGTCTGTCCATCTGTCTGTCTATCTATCTATTTATCTGCAAAAGTCAACAAATTTGGTCAGGATCAGGGATAACCTGGGATAACCTTCATTGAAGCCACTTAAACCTTTCATTGCCTTAACCCGCTTTTCCACAGAAGAATCAGAAGAAAATTTATTCAACCTGAATTTGCAAAACAGAATTGAATTATGCATTTATTCAGCTCCAGTTTCATATAAATAGAGTGGTCAAACATAATTTCATACTTAGATAAAAGCTGTCAGAATATAAATATATTTTACATTGACTTTCCATGAATATTCATCTCTGAAAACTTTAATATTGAATTGACATATTGCCTCTCCAGTGAAGTTGGGTTGCAGTGAAGTTGGTAATTTATCTTAAGCACAGTATTTGCACATTTTTTAATGTGGCCCAGAGAACTCATAATTTTTTTTTCAAATTACTGAAGTTCATAATAGCTTTTTGTTTTGTTTGCAAAACTTCTGGTATACTTTGTGGGAATGATTACTATGATCACAAAATGTAGTAATACTGCGTGTAAATTTAAACATGCTGTTTTCATTCAGCTATTTGATTACATGTATTAAAGAACAAAATCTCACATGCTAATAATGATCACATAATCATTCTCATTTCTGGTTCTGTTTTTAGGTAATCACAATGGGCAGCAAGCATCATGTGAAGAGTCCATTTTGTTATTTTTCTGTAACCAAAACTTGATTCCATTGTCATTGTAAACTACCACTCTTTTTCCAAATTCGCTTTCCTCTACAAAGTTATTGAATGTATTGTTGCCTCCAAAATCTATGCCCATCTTTCTCAGAATCTCAGCCAGGTTCCTGCCTAACACTGTACTGAAAGGGTTGTAGCAAAATTGCAAAGGGCATTCTATGTGTCTATGGGAAAGGTAAATTTTCCTTATTCTTTCTTCTTGAACTGTCTTCAGTCTTTGAAATCGTGAATTATATTACACTCCACCAACATGCTCTACTGCAATTCAGCTGGGTGAGGCTACACTAGCCGGTTTCCATTCTTATCTATCTATGGTAAGCCAATAAAGTATCTCCTCCTACACAGATACCTCTGGTGCCCCCATGGATCTATTATTTATACCCACCCCCTGAAAATCCTTATCTGCTTGCTTCCACTCAGCAACGACACCCAAAAACACAACATCAGACTTAATACATAGGCTGACAATGGTCCACTGTCACCCATGTTTTGTCTTTACACCATTTGTTTCTGCAGCTATTGCAAAGACATATAGTGCATCTCTAGGCTTTAAAAAGCGACATGGATATTTCAGTATGTTATGGTTATATACCTGGCAAATCCAATGGTTTGAGTTTGTATTTAGTACTGTATTCTGTGGACATGTAGCTTGGTCCCTATAACAGAAAGAGGCAAATGTCATTAGACTTCAAGAACCAAGGATCCTTCAACATCTTAATGAACAAATGGAGGATGAGTAATAACCACATTTTTTTCATTTTTTCTATATTTTGGATTGTGGACTAAAATGGGAAATAGCCTGTTTCAAAAGCCAAGGATTGTTCAAGCTTTGCTGCAATTTTTAGAAGCAAGAAACCTGACTCTCATTGTATGTACTGTTCACACAGCTACTTGTTCAACCAGTAATGGAAGTCTAGCTGTCAGATAAAATGGACCAGGGGGATATGTACAAATGAAGCTTTGGCTAGCAACAAGTAGCTGAATGGTTTGTGGACTAGTGACCATTTACAGATGAAAAAAGTCCTCTGCCTGCAACAACAAGGTTATTGGCTTCCAGGTAGCTAAACAGCTTGTGGGTGTGAATGTTTGGCAAAAGTTCTTGGAGCTCCACAAAAGTAGTAGCTGTCTCTTTTCTCTGCAGTCAAAAGCATCTTCCAAGTGTGAAGATAGTTTATTTATCTTCAACAGTTGTAGTATGAGGTGACTTTTAGTTGATAAGTCAAAGGCTTATAAGTGCGAAGAAGTCGTCATGTGCCTCCTGCAAACAAATGGAAGTACATCGAGACAGAAGATTGAGAAACAGCATTCTGATTAGCAAAAGAATCATCTCAATGATCCTTGCAGATTGGAACCACTGAACTACTTTCCCAGTCTTCCAACTGTGCATAACACCAGTGATTTGTCTATATATCAATGTCTGTCTATAAGTGTATGTAGACGATGAGTATATAAGTGGGTTAGATTTTTAATTAGTAGAGATATATGTCAAATATGTCATTTATATTGCAATAAATGGTCATTCTTATGAAGTACTTAATTGGTGCTTTGTGTCAACTTTGGTCTTAAAGTCAGGAAAATATGGGAATTGGTGTACTTTGATAAAGTCTATAAATTTTGTGCAGACTGGGAATAGTGGTTCTTGATTTCTAGCTTGCTACTTCAGTAAGGTATGACAGTTCAATCTACAACCAATGCTGTTGGCAGATTTCAGCTGGGGCTAATGGGTTAGACGTCATCTTCACCAGGAGTGATGGCAACATGAATATTACTATTGGATCAGATATAATAAAGCAGTCTGCCAATAGTCCTAAACCAGGATCTAGGCTGCAGCAACCACAAAACCACACCCCATATGGAGAATATAAGAAAACAAAGTTGAAGGATGGACGATCATTTGAAAGACCTGATATGCCATAGTCATTCCTTTGTGCCATACTTTACCAAGTAGTAAACAAAGAGCATTATCCATTATCTTGGAAGATTGAAACCAAGGGGATAATATGTGACAGTTTCAATAAAGTGATCAAAGCAAAGAAGATCCTTAGCCCAGAGATAGTAGGAACTGCAGATGCTGGAGAATCTGAGATAACAAACTGACGTTTTGGGCCTAGACCCTTCTTCAGAAATTTTCTGAAGAAGGGTCTATGCCCGAAATGTCAGCTTTCCTGCTCCTCTGATGCTGCTTGGCCTGCTGTGTTCATCCAGCTCTACACCTTGTTATCTAAGATCCTTAGCCCTCCAGGTTGTGTTTAACCAACCAGCCTGTCTATTTGTGGGCCTGGTCCAAACATACTCAGGTGATGTACAGGACATACCTTTAGCTTTTCTGCTATTATAATCATACCACATTCTTTAGATTGGGATAGCTCTACAACAATTCATCACACATCTCTTTAAGCTGTTGTTAGTGGGATATCTTCTTGAACTGAGTGGCTTGCAGGGCAACTTCAGAGGTCTTGAATCAACCATACTACTGTGAGGCTGGTGTCACATTTAAGCCAGATCAAGCAAGAGCAGCAGCTCTGCTTTTCCATCAGACATTATACAATTCATTGGGTTTTCTTTTGGTCATTTTTTTCACATTACCAACTTTGATTTATTTCCAGACATGATAAACACGAAATTCTTAGCCTAATATATCTAATCTGCTTGCATGTAGAAAACAACAACATAAATATAGATCTACTGTTTAAAAAGAATAAAGAACAATATAAACAAAAATTACACCAGTCTATTTCTATTCTATATTTAAGTGTGAGATGCATTATCACACAGCACGAAATAAAAGAGGAAGGTATTATGCCACACACCACAATACTTTGTGTGTAGCTGTAGCCTTGTATGCTTTCCTCTGTCGAATCAACCTATGATCTGTATGTCCTTGTTTGCTATGATCTACCTGTACTCTCACAAAACAAAGCTTTTGACTATACTTAGGTACATGCGACTACAATAAATCAAACCAAAAAAGTACTCTCAATACTTGACTATTAAACAAAAATACCAAAGAACACGAATTTATTGGAGGTCCAGTTCACTGATCATTTTAATGGTATATGCATCATGTAGTAAGGTGACATCAAAAAAAGTTCAAAAATGATTCCAACTTCAGTTTAAGCTGTTTAGGTTGATCTCAGCCAGGGCATGACACCATCTGTAGACTAGAGGAGCAACACCCCATATTCTGCATCGGAAGCCTAAACCCCAATGGCCTAAACATGGAATTCAACAGTTTTAAAATCTCCCCACCCCCAGCCTCATCCCATGTCCAACCCTCCCTCATATCCCCACCTCCTTGACCTGATACAACCTGTCCATCATCTCTCCCACCTATCCGCTCCTCCCACCTTACTGAACAATCTCCACCACTCCCTACCTGCACTCACCTATCACCATCCCACCTACCTTCCCCAGCCCGACCCCTCTTCTTTCTATTTATTTCCCAGCTCCCTTCCCCCTTCCCCATTTCTGAAGAAGGGTCCTGACCCAAAACATCAACTTTTCTGCTCCTCTGATGCTGCCTGGCCTGCTGTGCTCCTCCAGCTCCACACTGTGTTATCTCTGACTCCAGCATTGGCAATTCCTACTATCTCTGCGTGGTACAATTAGTCTGTGTTTCTGAAATAGGAAGTGGAAAATAAAGGGATTTCTCTTTTCATCAGTAAACATTGACCTTTTCTGGAAACAACTCAAACATGGGATGAAGGATGAAGTCAAAATAAATCTTAGCTATGATACTTCCATCACTGAACAGATTCCCAGTGTACACTGTCCAGGTTTGCAAAGCACACAGAACCATTGAGATACAGTACTGGAGCGGTGATGATACCTATGGAGCTGGACTGTTATTATGTGGCATATTGTATGAATCACTGCTTTCTGGGAAGAAAGAAATAATTAGGAATTGGTAGAGAATTTCATGGGTGTCAATGTCAGCTGAAGTTGAATTTCCAGCCCTCAGCTCTTGCACAGATTACGGAATCTGGTTGAGCAGAAGATGTTAGAAATTTTCTTGTTGATTTTCAGTAACTTCTTTAAAAGGAGAAAAATTTGAAACCTTTGGTTTCTTGATTAAAGAACATGGAGCTGTTAGCTTGACAAAAATCAAGATACAAAAGAGTTTTGTTTATTCACCAGAATGTTTGGAAAGAAACCATATGTCTGAGCAAAAATGAAGAGAACTTTTGTAATCTATGTAATCTAAGTAAATAATAAGAAACAATACCGACACTTGAAGAGATAGAAAAGCAATGCCTGAAAATTGATGAGATATTCTTTGGTGCTTAAATCAACCCGTGTCATGGATGATGATTCAACAGCAGATTCAAAAGAATACCATTTAAAGCCTGAGGATTTTCAGGAGAACCACATGTGATGTGTGGACAGGATATAAAACATTGGTTAGGCCACGGATGGAATACTGTGTACTGTGTTCTGATTATCACGCAATCATAAGGATGAGATTCACCAGGATATTACCTGGGATGAAAAGTCTCAGTTATGAGGAGAGACTGGATATGCTGGGTTTGCTTTCCTTGGAGCAGAGAAGGCTGAGGGGGATCTGACTGAGATACAAAATTATGAGAGGCATAACCAGAGTAGATCATGAGAATCTCTTCCCCATGACAGACATGTCTGAGGTCAGAGGACACAAGTTTAAGGTGAAGAGTAAGTGGTTTAGAGGAAATCTGAAAAAAAAATCACCCAGAAGTTGGTAGATAAATGGAACATGCTTCCTGAAAGGGTGGTGGAGGCAGTTATTCTCGCAACATTTAAGAAGCATCTGGATGAGTACATAGTTAAAATGCCAAGGCATAGTAGGCTATGGACCAAGTGTAGGTAAATGGGATTAGTGCAGTGCCACAAGGATCAGTGTTGGGTTCACTGCTTTTCATCATTTATACGAATGATTTGGATGTAAATGTAGGAGGTGTGCTTAGTAAGTTTGCAGATGACAGGTGTAGTGGACAGCAAAGAAGGTTACCTCAGAGTTCGATGGGATCTTGATCAGATGGACCAATGGACCGAGGAGAAACAGACGGAGTTCAATTTAGATAAATGTGAAGTGCTGCATTTTGGAAAGGCAAATCAGGGCAGGACTTATACACTTAACAGCAAGGTCCTGGGGAGTGTTGCTGAACAAAGAGGCATTGGAGTACAAGTTCATAGTTCCTTGAAAGTGGAGTCACAGTTAGATAGGATAGTGAAGGAGGTGTTTGGTATGTTTGTCTTGTTTGGTCAGTGCATTGAATATAGGAGTTGGCAGGTCATGTTGCAGCTGTACAGCACATTGGTCAAGCCACATTTGGAATACTGCGTGTAATTCTGGTCTCCCTGTTATAGGAAGGATGTTGTGAAACTTGAAGGGGTTCAGAAAAGATATACAAGGATGTTGCCAGGGTTGGAGGGTTTGTGCTATAGGGAGAGGCTGAATAGGCTGAGGTTATTTTCCCTGGAGTGTCGGAGGCTGAGGGGTGACTTCACAAAGGTTTATAAAATCATCAGGGGCATGGGTAGGATAAATAGACAAGGTCTTTTTCCCTGGGACCTGGGGATCCAAAACTAGAGGGCATAGGTTTAAGGTGAGAGGGGAAAGATTTAGAAGGACCTAAGGGACACCTTTTTCACGCTGAGTGTGGTGTGTGAGTAACAAAGAGGATTGATGAGGGCAGAGCAGTGGACATGATCTGTATGGACTGCAGTAAGGCTTTCGACAAGATTCCTCGTGGTAGACTGGTCAGTAAGGTTAGATCACATGGAATAGAGAGAGAACTAGCTATTTGGATAGAACTGGCTTGAAGGTAGAAGAGAGTCATGGTGATGGGTTGTTTTTCAGAGGCCTGTGAGCTGCCAGAGGAAGTGGTGGAGGCTGGTACAATGACAACAATTAAAAGGCATCTGGATGGGTATATGAATGGGAATTGTTTAGAGGGATATGGGTCAAATGCTGGCAAATTGGACTAGATTTGTCTGTTTTGGTGCTGTGTATACCGCTATGAATCTATGACTCTAGTTTGGTGTTTGTTGGTTGGCATAGGCATGTGGAATGTCGATGGCCTGTTGCTATGCTGACTGACTCCATGACGTTTTCTCCCAATGAACCTGGTTAATTCTTTGTCATGAGTTGTACTTACTTGAAAACATTCTATGAAAAGCTACAACTTCCCTTCTAGTAAAAGTTGTTGCATTGTGTGTCAATTAAATTCATGACAATATTAGAAGATAATATCCTACAATCCATGCTTGATTTTTGGAACGCTGATGCAGAAAGGTTAAAAATGAATAGTAGAGGGAATTGTTTTCCCCAAAGGCAGGCAGTAGTCTGGGCTGCTATCTACATGGTCTGCATGACAATCTTTATTAATATCAGTGAATAATGCCCTACATACTGCCCAGGTAGTGGCCCACAGTCCAGCCTGCTCCCAGGGAATTGAGGCAAATCGATGACAAGTGCTCGAAATGAAACTACTAAATGAACTATTCCCACAGATTTTAAGTGATAGGATGAAGAGGGAAAGGCACAACAGCTACTCTAGAGATATGGGTAAGAAAATGATGCATATCCACATGACATGACTACTTCAGATTTCACCATTCATAATTTTAAAAAGTTGCATGATTGAACAACAAATGATAATGCACCTGGATTGAGAGTTATTTTGAAAATAGTCAGTAAAGAAATCATGTGAATTCAATAAATAGCACCAGTCATCCACCAATGACTTATTGTACTTACATAACCTCCATTTTCTTGCATCACTGAGTCCCGTGGTTGAATTTGCTGTAGGAAGGGTATGTGTTTAGGTTCAATCCCTGTGATAGAGAATGGTCCATGGTCCCTTGTGTCAATATGGGCTTCTTTCATCTGCATGATGAAAATGAGTTAAATATTTGAGTTAATTTATTCACAATAGCTTACTAATTAGTCAACTATCCAGATTAGCCCATGAGGTGAAGACCATTATGAATAATTTTTTGTTGTAAAATTTCTCCTTAGCAGGTTTAAATTTGAGAAAAGTCATACTGCCAAACCCCATAATACAATGCTTTGACTGAATGCGCATGCATCAAATCTTGTATGCATTAGTTCTGCGTTATTTTATCAGGAATATAAAATCACAGGAATGTGTAGGGCCAGAAGAGGTCTTCTGGTTTAACCAGCCACTCCCAAAGGCAAAACAAAAAGACTGCAGACAATGGAACTCTGAAATAAAAACAAAAAGAAATGTTGGAAATGTTTAGCAGGTCAGGCAGTTTTTTGTTTTGTGGAGAAAGTTAACTTCTGGCAAAGGTCATGGACCTGACTAGTTACCTCTATCTCTCTCCACTAAAGTAGCCATAACTCCTGATCATTTCCACAACTGCCAGCTCCAAAGTGTCAAAGTCCTATACACTATTTCAGCTTTTCAATCTCCAAAATCCTTTCTTTTCATCTAAATATTTCTACCTGAAACTGCAGAGTCTGTGCAGAACCCTACCTTTAACACAGTTAAATTCTTACCTTGACTTTTTGTTCCCTTTCTTCTTCACAGCTTCAACCCATTATTTCTCCAGACCATAAAATTTCAGAGCAGAATTAGACCATTCAGTCCATTGAATCTGCTCCACCATTCGATCATGGCTGGTATGTTTCTCCTATTCATCCTCTTCTCCTGCCTTCTCCCCAGTAACCCTCAATCCCCTTACAAATCAAGAACCTATCTATCTCTCCCCTAAATACACTCAATGACATGGCCTCCACAGCCTTCTGCAGCACTGGTTCCACACATTCACCACCCTCTGACTGAAGAAATTCCTCCTCATCTTAGTTCTAAAGAGTCGTCCCTTCACTCTAAGGTTGTGTCCTCAGGTCCTAGTCTCACCTACAAGTAGAAACATCTTCTCCATGTCCACTCTATCTAGGCCTCTCGGTATTCTAGAAGTTTCAAAGAGATAATCCCTCATCCTTCCGAACTCATCAAGTACAGAACACCCGGATCATTCTTGTAAACCTTCTCTGCACCTCCTTCAAGGCCAGCACATCCTTCCTTAGATACGGGGCCCAAAGCTGTTCACTATATTCCAAATTCGGTCTGATCAGGGCCTTTTACAGCAGTACATCTCTGCTCCTGCATTCTAGGCCTTATTTTATGGCTTGTGAACTTGTGTGATGAAATGCAAAATACTTCGGTAAGATTATATCATGGATTTTTTTTTTCTCTCTGGCATAAGCATTCCTATTTCTATAGCCTATCCTTGTAATGAAGATATCTCATTACTGATACAATATAACTATCACAAATCCTAGGATGTCTCAACTGAAGTACAATGTTAAGAATCAACTGGATTAAAATAGTATTCAAGACATATACATCATAAAGTGTCTTAATTATACTTTTCTATCATTCTAAGATTGTTTCATTAATGAGGGAATGGAAGTGTAGATAAAATTTAAACAATTTTCAATTGTGCTCCCACTTTCCAGTAAGGAACATGAAAAATGAACCTTAGATGACTTATATTCCCATGGCTATGCTATTCTTTTCTTCTGTCTGTTGATTACAGTTATATGATCCATATTTTTAGCGTGAATACGAGAAAGGCTGAACTTAAATCAAAGAATTTTAGTCAGTTTTTCCATCTAAAATGGATGATAATGAGATTAAATGGAATAATTTGAGTTTTCTTGACTGTTATTTTTCCTTATGAAGTTAATAAATTCTACTTATAGAGATTAATTGAGTTAAGTACAGCAAACTTAAAGGATTTGGAGCCTGTGGGTGTCTTTATGCTGATGATCTCTGCTGTATGCCCCTTTGCTTTTATCAGTCACAAAGCCAGAACTCTTTAGAAAGCAGGAAATGAAAGGCTTAATAATATAAGAAAACCATCTACGAGCTTTCCTGAGACTCGCTTCCAGCAGAAAAATCTGAGCAAATCTTTTAATCACTGTGGACATGTTTATTTCACTTCAATGTGTCTAGCCAGAAATGTATTAACATTTACAGCCTTCAATATGATTTTGTGTTAATTTTAATGTTCCTTATATGGTGATGTTGAAACTCAGAGATCAGTTTTGCATTACAATTGCAGATGGTAGAAGGTAACACATTAAGTTTTACGTACACAAGATATGTCCAACAATTACTAAGTTTTAGAGGTCAGTCTAACTCCATGTTCCTCCAGTATGTGTGAAACCTTGTACTTGGAAGTTGGTATGGTGAGAAACTGCACGTCAACAGCTCTACCAAGTCTTTTTGTAAAATGCAAAGGAGATGTGCTATGACAGGTTATTAGTACATACATCATAGAGGCAAAGATGGTTCATCCATTACAAAGGGTGTACAAAAGCAAAAATTATCTTTCTGCCTTTCCAAAAACTTTCTGAGGTGAAAGAATGACTGTCAAAACCAATGGCAACCAAAACGAATATGGAGCTAGAAAACAGAAAAACTACAGACAAACGATGAAGTGTGTTGTGTCCACACATTTGATAGGTTGTTCATTGAATATGCTCTCCATGAGATGGCTGCAAGAACATTGTGCTGTTTACCATGTGAAGGAACCCTTCCAGGAGGATACCAGGAGCACTCTCCTGCAAGGCAGCCAGCGTCACACTGTGTGCAATACTCAAAAGGTCTGGCGAGATGCAAAAACTGGCAGAGGCTGCCAGGTTAAGACCATCCTCCTATAGCTTTTAAAAGAAATGCATGCCACAAAACGCTGCCTTTCAACCTGTTGCTCTTAAATGGCTGATTTGTGCTAAGCACTCATACAATTTTACTGGTGCTGCAGTACTGACTGAAATAACTCCACGGTGGCTGGTATCCCATTTACACGCGCATAGTACTTGACACTGGTCCTGCTTCCTCAGTGTCACCTCTCGGAGTGAACAGAACCTCTGACACTCCTGTTTTTAATCTGTCAGCCAGGGCTCCATGATTGGACCAGATTAACAGCCCTAATTAGGGAACTCATTCTATGAGGTCCACTAAGCTGACCTTGTTACAATCACTACACTGACCATACATAGACACCCTCCAAGTGCATCGGTATAAGTTACAATTTCCAACTGAAATTGTTGATCCACTCATATCTTTGCAAGTTAAACTAGCTGTATGATAATTGGTTATTACTGACAGATAAAATGATTTCAGCTTAGCACAAACCTGTTGTTATGTCCATCTTTCAACTTATGACATCTGAAAACCGAATATATGATTGGAGAATGAATTGACATAGAACAGAGGGAATGCATTGGAGGAGGTGTCTGAAATCATAAGCTTTCTACTCCAGACAACCACAAAAACATTAAACAAGTAGTGAACTCTATTGTAAGGCATTATTTAGAATAAGCATTCAAACATTTATTTCCTTTCTGTTAATAACCCCATTTAGTGTTCTTTAGAGATATTGTGGTGTAATGTTTGGATTGAATCAGAAATTCTGTATCAAGTCCCATTCCACGATTAATGTTCAAGGAATTTGTGTACAGAATGCAGGCAAACAGGTATACAGGTCAACAGTAAATCCTTCCAACAAAGTCAATGGCAGACTTTATACACTGAAGTGATTCCTGCTCAGTAATGTGATGGCCAGAAGTTGGAATCTCGATCATTGCTATCCATACCTCCAGACAACAACATGCATGTAAAAGCAAAAGCAACGCAGCCTCTTTAGTGTGCTGGTTAGCTCAGCTGGCTAGACAGCCAATGTGGATTAGATCAATGACAACATCATGTGCTTCAATCTCCATTCTGGCTGGGGTGGATTCAGGACCTGCCTCCTGATTGTATCCATGGTGGAACTGTGCCACTCTGGATCTGCCCTGCCTTCAAGCAGAGAACTCAAGTTGAGAGGTCTTCAAGAATGTAACAAGCAGAGTAGATATAGCAGAATCTTTGGATGTGTGTATTTGGATTTCCAAAAGTACTTTGATAAGGTGCCATGCTAAAGGTTACAATGTAAGATGGGAACTCATGATGCCAGGGGTAATATATTAGGAGAGGATTGGCTAAATAACAGGAGGCAGATAATCAGTATAAATTGGTAATTTTCAGGTTAGGTGAATTTTAACTAGTCTGAGTATCACAGGAATTAGAGCTAGGGCCTCAACTATTTACAATTCACATTGATGCGGATGAGTAGACTATCCATATTGAAGCCAACTTGTTGACAACACCAAAAGATACGGGAAAGCAAATTGTGAGGGAGGTACAAAGAGTTTATAAGAGATATAGATAGGTGCAGTGAGTCAGCAAAAACATGACAGGTGGAGTACGATGTGGGAAAATGGGAGGTTGACCAATTTTGTGAGAGGAATAAAGAAAGCAAGATACTCGTTAAATGGCGAAAGACTACAGAATGCTGCAGTGTAGAGGGACCTGGGTACTTGTGCACATGAATTGCAAGAAGTGCACATTCAAACTTAGGGGGCCAAAGGATCATTGACATTTATTGCAAGGATGATGTGGTACAAAATTGGGGAAATTTTGATTTAACAGGGCAAGGAACCGATGAGATTTAGAGGGCTGTGTACAGTTTGGTCTTGCTGATCAATTTATATCTGCATTGGAAGCAGATCAGAGAAGGTTCACAAAGAAGATGACTGAGAAAAGGTTGAAAAGGTTGGGCCTGTACTTAGTGGCATTTAGAAGAATAAGAGGTGAACTTATGGAAATATATAAGATTCTGAGGAACCTTGATGGGATAAATTCTGAGAAAGCATGTTTCCTTGGTGGAATCAGGAATCTATACTAGGGGTCATAATTTAAATATAAGTGGTCTCCCATTTGGGACAAAAATTGCTTTTCTCAAGATTTGTTACACTCTCGACATCTTTGCCACAGACATTAAGTGGTGCCGCATCATTGAATATATTGAAGGTCTAGTTCGACAGATTTTGTCCATAAGGGAGTTAAGGGTTGTAGGTCAAATAGGAAAGTGGAGCTAAGGCCACAAAATGGATCAGCCATGATCTTATTGAATAACAAAGCAGGCTCAAATGGCTTACTCCTGTTTCTAATTTGTATGGTCTTATGATAATTTCTTTGATTCTTGCAATGCATCCTCACTAACTGTAAATGACTATATTACAAACTCTGCAAAGTGTATCTGCAAAAAGAAGCTGTTGAGAACATCTATCTTAGTTATACATTTACGTAGTTTACACTGACATTGTTGCTTCCTTTCAAACCTACTCTGAATAATTTAACTGAATCCATATAAATGGGTTCAGTTTTGATACCAACCAACTCCAGGTCAGGTTTAATGTACTAAAGGCAGAGTAAAATTCTTCCTCACTACAGCAATGTACATCAGCTCCAAACTTCAGCAAGGACTTTCTTATGCCCCAATGGTACTTGTTTTTATTCCCCACACAATCGTTTTCACTTCAGTAAACAATCCCGAACTATCAAAAACTTCATACTGGATTGGGATTATTTGTTTCTGTTAGTGAATTTTATGTTAAGACTTCTATCTGTGAATTTAACAGCATTTGAACTTAGGCTTCCTGAATAAAAGGGCAGAGCCTAATCCATTGCAAAAACAGGCTCCATAGCTAGTAACTTTAGTACTCTTAACCACTTTCTTACATCTTTGAGGTAGGGAAAGTTCAGTGGCTTTTTCCGCATGAATCCACTGCCAACAGAATGTAACTTGTGAGGAAAGTCTTCTTTGCCATCTGGGAGATCATACTTCACAAAGTCCTTCTTGGTTATTGAATTATAATTGTCTCGCAAAAGCTGCCTAAAGACAAAAATGTGAATAGTTACATTCAATATTACAAGTTTTCACCACCACCCATCCACTCAACTATCTTTTACATCACTTATCCCTCTTCTGAAGGTGGTTGGTCATTCCATAGTTATTTGCAACTATTCACTACCGAAACCCAATCTTACTTTCATCCATTCCCTACATAAATGCACTTTGAACAACATGGGAATTGTATTTAGAAGCTGGAGCTGGAGAGGACATTCCGTACCTCCCCATCCCCCTCCTGCATTCCCTAATGACCCACCAACTCCATTCAGCTAGAGTGGCACTGAGGACAAATGTACTTCACGAACATCATGCTAAAGGCTGGTTTGCTGCACAAATCGGTGAGAGAGATGGTTGAGAGTCTTTGGAACTCTCTTTCTGAAAAGATAGAGGAAGCAGAGTCTGTGATTACATTTAAGGCAGAGGTGGTTACATTTTTGATAAGCAAGCGGGTGAAAGGTCATCGGGGATAGGCAGTAATGTGGATTACATTAAGATCTGCTATGATCTTATCAAATGGGGGAGCAGGCTGATGGGGCTGAATGGCCCACTCCTTGCTCTTTGCTCTTCACGGATTTGTACGTAACCTAAGACCTTTCTGATTTTTATGGCTCAGTATTGCATTAGATATGTTTTCATGTGGGCTTTGGAACAGAATCACTGATTTTCATTCTCTCCACATGGATCCCATCACAATCTCACCATTGGCTCCCCCTCTCAGCACCCTGTCCTGCACCCTGCCCCTCACCCCAGCCACATTCTGAAGGCTTTCCTCTCTGACGTTTGGAAAAAAGACAAATCCATACAACAATTGACATCTAACTTCTTCTGGCTTCCAGCACACAGTTGGAGCCCATTCATGGGTATGTCTGTCTGCTGGGGGCTGAGAGATGTAGGTAGACACCACTACCTGTTCACTCATGTGTTCAGGCCATGTCAAAAAAAACAACGTACGCCACAAGATAATTTGCTCACCCTTTTCACTACTGTTTATTTCCTTCAGTTTACAATTTCAGTCAGGGATGGGCAACAAATTCTGGCTTTGCCAGTGACATTCATATCCCTCACACAAACCCTAAGTAACAAGGAATGCAAAAGCCTCTTATGGCACAGTGGTATTATCAGTACCACAATGCCAGGAAGCCTGGGTGCAACTCTTGCCCCATCCAGAGGTATGTAATGGCACCTCCGAACAGGGTGATTAGAAACTATCTACAAGGATTGCAAAGGAAGAGTGATATCTGCATCAAACACAATGGTCACTTTCATTTCTCCTCACTGCGCATTGTTTGTTCTTCCAGTCTCTTTAAGATGTCCACATGACCCCACATCTTAAAGGGGTTGCTTGTTGTTAGCACCCTGTTGGTCCCCTGTGGACTAAGCATTGGACTGCTGCATGGCCGCTCACCCATATAGTTTGGAAGGAATGTTGATCACAGGTATCTATCTTTTATTTCCCTGTTTTGCAGATAGGAAATTAATCATATCTGGACATAAAACAAATTTACAAACTGCTTATTTGGATGATCTTCTGATATATTGTAAAAGAGGAAAAGTCAAAATAAGTTCAGAGTAAGATGCAAGTGCTGACCGAGAGACTATCACTGTGGAAATGCCTGAGAAATTGTGACATTGCTTTATTGCATAAGTGACATACAGTACACTGCCTCAGTTTAACGAACACCCATTGTGAAATATGAGATGGCCACATATCTAGACCCACCTGTCCATCACATACAAATAAATATGCCATTAATTCAGCAAAACAGCTAGATAGACCACGTGGCATCATCCTGACAGAAAGTCTCATGAGGTCTGCATCATGATTTTCCCAATTTGTTATGATCCCTGCTGATATTATTACTGAAAAAGTTAGATCTCAGACTGAAATCTGGCTTGGTAGATCATACCTTTTTAAAATTTAATGAGTTGGGCTTTCACTGAAATAAATGCTGCAGATTTGGTTTTAACAATGAAACAGAAGTTTATTACACAAAAAAAAAGACAAAATAGAATAACTGAGCTATTTACGTATAACACAACTTGAAATGTTTCAAAACACACAGTAAAAATACAATCCCACCGATCCAAACACTATCGCATTACCATAGCGAGCACTAGAGAGAGCTTGCTTCTCTATCACATTTATAAATTAAACTTAGCTGTTTCTTCCAATGCCCAGTATTGACAGTTTGGTAGCCTCTTCCTTGGTTAATCACACAATTGGGCTTAGACATTCTCAACTTTGAATAATCCCTCCAGGGCTCCACCCAAAGACTCTTCCTCTGTATTTTCAACTAAAACAATTAAACCTATTTCTTAACTGGTCTAAACTAACTTCTTTCTCTAGGATAACAAGGTGTAGAGCTGGATGAACACAGCAGGCCAAGCAGCATCAGAGGAGCAGGAAGGCTGATGCTGCTTGGCCTGCTGTGTTCATCCAGCTCTACACCTTGTTATCTCAGATTCTCCAGCATCTGCGTTCCTACTATCTCTTTCTCCAGGAGAAAGTGTTTCATACATCTAACTTAAACCAGGATGCCTATAAATAAACTCCAAAAGCTTTCCAAGGTATGGGTCTTTCCCCTAAGCAAAACAAAAAAAAGAAAATCCTTCTAAACTTAAAGCAAGCTAATATCTCTCCCATATCAGTTATTTTTTTATAAAAGACCGTTCCAGACATATTGAAAAATTACTCATTGAACATCTCCCCCCATAGATAGAGACAAAAACCCACATGCCACTTGTTCAAAATATAAATTCTAAATCTAAAATCTAAAATAAATGATATTAAAGTACATAGGAATGACACACCATACATTATAATCATCAAACGGGGCTGACTGGGCAGTCTGTTGTACGATTGAACATAAGGTACCTGTGGTGGTAATAGGAACATTCTCAACAGAATGAAGGCAGCAAGGGATTCTGCTAAGCATATTAGCATTGTGGAAACATTTCCTATTTACTAAATGATAACACTTCATATTAGTCTCTACTGAACAGCATCTATCAAATCTATGCCCACTCCACTATATAGGAAACAAAACAGAAATTTCTGGAAAAACTCAGCAGGTCTGGCAGCATCTGTGAAGGAAAAAGCAGTTAATGTTTCGGGTCCAGTGACCCTTCCTCAGAACTCACTATATAGGCCCTTTATATTCTCCTACACTCTCTTTGCATTCTTTCGTACATTCCCCATTATGACCCATTATTCCTTGGACACTGACTACATCTGCCAACACCATCTAGGATTTCTGGATCAGATGAGACATTCTCCCTGGCCATTCCACAGGAAACATTCCTCTTACAGTTCAATGAGAGCCTGAAGGAGGGTTTATCACTAAACTGTCAAGTGGTCTGTGCATGCCTCTCAGAGGAAAACCACTTCCTGTTCCAATTTCATCAGCCATTGTTTGATTCTCCGCAATCTCTTGAGCTTTACTCCTCAGCTTCCAGTGGCTAATGCTTACTCAGGTACAATGAGATGAACAGGATCATGGCTGACCCTTTTGCCTGCAGCTTACCTTCACTTGATGACTTTCTGTTCCCTCGGGCCTTCTCATCTAAGTTCCTTGTTTGTGGACGCTGAATCATCCTTTAAACATCCTACCACAGCAACTTCCTGCTGTAAATGACTCTGAAAGGGTCAATATTGAGGAGTGACATAAGCACCGCCCATTAGGATGGTGTCATATAAAGTTGTGGGCAAATAGCTTAGGATATTGAAGAAGTGAGAACTAACATCAAAGTCTCTGTAACAATGTCTATCATATCAATGCTACCTTTGACTATTTGCTAAAAGGCAATAAACTAGACCTTGGTAACTACAAGAAACTCTTCTAATTGAACCAGGAATTGGTTTTCCTCTGCCATACCAGACCAAGTAGGCCCTGGTGTTTCCTACAGTTCAAGAGGATGGTGATGCAGTGCAATGGCCCTGCCTATCCAACACCTCCATCCTTGAGCTCACCCAGTTGAAAATGACAAGCCCACTCTGCTGGCATACTGTCCACTGGATGGTATTAATTGACAGGCCAGTGCATGATTGCAGATGGAAGCTGGGGATGCATGGGAGCAGCAGTTACGTCACATGTTTATCCCCATGGGACCTGCACTCTTGGCACAAATTTCTATGGCAGAACTGAAAGTGTGTGAGGATGAGAGAGGGAAGAAGTTGCAGGCAACAGTAGGAGTGGTAGAACATGAGCCTTGGCGGGGGATGGGTGCAGTAGCAGAGAGTAAGTGTGAGGTAGCAGAGAGATGTTGGCACTTATTCCAAGAGTGTGGACAAAGTCATTGACTTTCTTTCAGCAATGGTGGGCAATTGTCCAGACTGTACAGAATGTGCCGACTTGGGTAGCAACCTTGGACCAAGCTAGTAGGGTCTAGTGTCATGGCCTCCTCTACCACTCCTTGAGGAAACAGATGTCCATTCCCTACACTGCCCGATCCACCAGGACATCCAAATCTCCATCCACAAAGTGGGGCACCAATTTCACCTTGTCTGCCATGTCCAGGGTAATTATCTCCAAACGTGCAGGGCAACTCTGGACTGCCAGTTGTTGACTAGGTATGCAACAGCCTTTATATAAGGCACTGGCATCAGGTATCCAAGGATGTTCTGGTAGCGGTGAGTAAGTCTGCTTATTGTCAATGGTAGAATCCAGCTAGAGTTTGGGATGATAACATCAGTAAACTTGCCTCCATGAAACTCGGCAGAAATGACATTTAGCTAATGTCTGGTAAGATGCAGCCCAATGTTATTGTTTCTTGCTCAATCTTTATTGAATGCTGACGCTAATGTTCAGTACTGTGCTTCCCATTCTATAAGACACGTTGAACTCGAGGCTCTCTTAGCCCTCCCTGCTGTGAATTATACAAAATATCGTCCAACGTGTCCTGTGAAATTCTACCTACAAACACACTGAGGTGGATGTACAATTAGACATTATTTACATGGCCACTTATTTCCCTCCGGGAGAGATACACACATTTAATTCCTCTGTCCAGGTCAGAGTGGAAGTATTGTAAAGGACTGCAAAATGTCACCTAAAGGATTACCTGTAATTCACCAAATTCAAATATCAGATAACAGAAACTTTCTGTGTATTTCAGGCATACAGCACTAACATGCCATGCAGAGCTCTAAGTAGAAAGACCTCTGGGGCATTAATCATTCACAGGGCAATTAATTGCATTACTTCTAGTTTCAGATTTCTAATTTTATACAGATGCTAGAGGTAGTTGAGCAAGTTGCTCCTAAACAACCCCCGAGTCATAGAGTCATACAGCACAGAAACTGACCCTACAGACCAGGTTTCCTGCATTTGGCCCGTATCTCTCTAAACCATTCCTATCTATGTGCTTGTCCTAGTGTCTTTTAAATATTATAACAGTACCTGCATCTGCCACTTCCTCTGGCAGTTCATTCCACATACGAACCACACTCTGTGTGAAAACGTTGCCCCACAGGTCCCTTTTAAATATTTCTCCTCTCACCTTAAAATTATGCCCTCTAGTCTTGGACTCCCCTACCCTAGGGAAAAGACCTTTGCTATTCAGCTTACCTATGCCCCTTATGATTTTGTAAATTTCTATAAGGTTACCTCTCAACCTCCAATGCTCCAGTGAAAAAAGTCCCAGGCTATCCCACATCTCCTTAAAACTCAAATCCTCCAGTCCCAGCAATTTCTTTGTAAATCTTTTCAGAACCCTCTCCAATTTAATTCTTTCTACAGCACAGCAACCAGAACTGGACATAACACAGCAACCAGAACTGCTCCGTAAGTGGCCTCACCAAAGTCCTGTACAAGCTCAACCTGACATCCCAACTCCTACAATCAATGGTCTGATCAATGAAGCCAAGTTTGCTAAACCATCCTGTCAACCTGTGATGCATCTTTCAAAGAACTATATACCTGAACCCTTAGGTCTCTCTGTTTGACAACGCTACCCAGGGCCCTCCCATTAACTGTATAAGTCCTGCCCTTGTTTATCTAACCAAACTGCAATTCCTCACATTCATTCAAATTGAACTCCATCTGCCACTCCTCAGCCATTGTCCCAATTGATCAAGATCCCTTTGTAATCTTAGATAACCTTCCTCATTGTTCACTATATGACCAATTTTGGTGTCATCCACAAAATTACTAAACTAAATTCTCATCCAAATCATTTCTATAAGTGATAAAGAACACTGGACCCAGCACCAATCCCTGTGGAACACCACTGGTCACAGGCCTCTAGTCTGAAAAACAACCTTCCAGCATCACCGTCTGTCTCCTACTGTCAAGCCAATTTTGTATTTAATTGACAAGGCCTCCCTGAATCCCATGTGATATAACTTTACTAGTCAGTCTACCATGCGGAACCTTGTTAAAGGCTTTACTATAGTCCATGCAGACAATATCTACCACCCTGCCCCAATCTACCTTTTAGTTTACGTCCTCCAAAAACTCAAACAAGTTTGTGAGACACGATTTCCCAGCAAAAAGCCATGCTGATTATCCCTAATCAGTCCTCGCCTCTCCAAATGCATGTAAATCCTATCTCTTATCTATAACTAACATATGCCTCCTTTTTATTCTTGATATATAATTATATTGTAATTTTCTAATTTCAAACTTATAATGAAAATAGCTCAAGTCACAAGGTAATTTTATGAATCTGCCAGGGGCATATATGTGGAAAAATAAGTTTGCATTGAAAATTTCTATTCTAAATGTAGACAGAGAAAACTATTAGTAAAAACATTTTGGAAGAAATTAAAGATTACTGCATATATAAAGATGTGCCTCATGTAACATTATTCATGTAATTATGTGAATTTTGTGATAAATAGGAAAGGCAATGAAGGCAATGATAGCCACTGATTTATTTAGTTATTATAAATTAATCTTTACAAAAATTAAACTGCACGAGTCCTTCAATGGTCTCCAAGACAGGCTCCCATATTTAGTTTTTATTTGGCTCCTAGTTATCTAGAATGTAAAAGGACTTGGAGAACTGAACAAGAGTTAGAGGCATAGGGCAGCTAGGAGTCTTACTTCATTCAACTTATGCAAAGTTGTACCAGAAAGACACCCACCCCATCCCATGTAGCCCATTTCCCTGGGAAACACACTCTCACTTCTTGCAACATGGTCTGGGCACAGAAAACAAACTAAAGAGAAAATAGAAATTGTATTGTCTCCTCTATATCTGTCCACTTCGATTGTTGCACACTGCGGTGCCCTGACAGGTTTTCCAATTAACCATTCTTAGAAAATCCCTCTTACCCAAGGATTGGGTTGTCTAATCTGTCTAAAGATGATGAGTAGCATAAAACAGGTCTTTGATTGGTCACATATCCAGACCCATATTCCTCGCATTTTCTGGGTTCAAATCCTTCATGACCTGGAACACAAATACATCATGATTTGTGTTAGAAATTTGATCCTTGATTTTTCATTCTGTTTCCAGCTTAATTAAGTTTCCTCCACTTGGCATATTGTAAACTTTTCCATGACTGGAATTGGTGCCAATCAGTACACTTGCAAATAACAGATTTAATTTGGGCCAGAACAATCTCATTTTTGCATCCCTTCCAATAAGCATTGAAAATGAGAGATGCAAGCTGAAGCATTTTTTGGAGGTACTGTTTGAGCATTATAAATGATTTGGTCAACTTTCCGTTACCTTATCTAATAAGCTGAAATCATATGTGATATTAATAATAAACCCATTAAAGCCGTACCTGCTGGGAATGCCTAATTATAAATTGAGCACTCATGGCCCACAACTTTAATTGGCAACAATGTGTGATCTGTAGTAGATGCTATCTAGGCATATACTAATGGCAAATTTGCTAAGTGCTAAAATCACCTTTTGTTTCTGATGAGAAGGCATTGGACGTGACATGACAAGCAATAGCAACACATCTTCAAATAATAGAGGTTAAGTACAACAGAAACAGAACCTAAAAGCTCTTATAAGTTCTGTAGGCTAAAAGTAATTGAGCCAAAGAGCTAAACTGTATTAACTTTGTTTATCTGCTCTCTTAATACTGCAACAGATTTTACAACAATGGCAATGTGGGAGGTGAAGATGATGTAAAGTTTAGTCTCCACACTTCCAGTAGTTGTGATTTTCGGATCCATAGTAACAGCCAACACCTACAATATTTCACCCAAACAGTTTTTCTTCATGTATCAGTGAGAATCAGCAAGCAATGATTCCATAGTCAAACAGAGTCCTGCTGAACACTGAAGTGCGGGCTTTACAACAGTCTCTGGAAAAAAAATCAACAGTGGAAACTTATACAAATCTTGATTTCCATCCATTTGAAAGACAGAGATGCTGGAGCCAGTAGGAACTTCTGCACTGTTGTCCCAGTTTACATGAAACTGTGCCTTTCATTTAGCAATAATATCCCATGTCTCATGGAGACATCATCGGATGAAAATGGACACTGAGGCAAAGAAAGGGATAGTAAGAGAGGTGACTAAAACTTAGCCAAACATATGGGTTTTACCTAAGTCCAGAAAATTTTGGTTCTGTTGAGGAAGTGGTGGAGTAGCTCAGGGATGGTTTCATCGCTTTGGGATGGGGTAGTGTTGGTGGTTGGGATTGGGGGGTAAACTGCAGAAATAAAAAGAAGTCATAAAAAAGTATTAAATAGCACTGAATTGGTTGTATTTGGAGTTGACAAAGGCACGGATGTGAGCACGAGCAGCAAGTGTGGTGAAGCACAAGTCAGGAGACGAACATGTTTTGGAGGTCAAAGGAGACAGTCTTTGTGACAGAGAGCTTACATAGTAAAAGCTTAGTCATAACTCAGAGTCAAATTGAACATCAAAGTTGTGAACAATTTAGTTCAATCTGAGATAGTGGCAAGGGAGGGACAAAGGTGCAGAATGAGGATAAAACAGGATGAGCTTGATCTTTCCAATGTTTAACTGGAGGGAACTGCAGCTAAACCAAGGCTGGATGTTAAACAAGTAGTCAGAGAACACAAGGAGCAGAGAGTTTGAGAGAATTGACAGGGAGATGGATGTCCATGGCGTATGTCATTTTCGATGATGTCCCCCAAGGACAGTCTAAAATGAATAAGAGGTTTTGTGAAGGATTACACATAGGTCCATGCTAGGTTCAAAAAGTAATAGCATGGGGACAGGGGGCGAAATAATTTCTCAAAATATTTTGACAATAATGTGATTAGTGATAGAATCAAGAAAAGGCCACACCGGACAATAAAGCATAAATATCAGAGAAGAATTATGTTAGATAATACCAACAGTTGCTGAAACGTCAAAGAAGTTGAGAAGGATAAATGCACCCTGGTCAGTACAGACAATGTTATTTGTGACTTTGTTTGGAGCTGTTCAGTGTTTTCATAGGGGCAAGGTCAGGAGATTACTGGAATTGAACATGGAACCACCCTTCCCCCTCCCATTCCATTCCTGGGACCGTGTACCTCAGTGGAAGACATGATACTGCATACACTTAGCAAATTACCATTAGAGGTAACAATCTTAAAGATTTTCCTGGATGAACAGATTATTTATAAAATACTCATAATTTCACAATACACCAGTAATTAAAAAGCTGACCTCCTGACAAAGAGCTGACTCAGTAATACAAGCCATTAAACATTTGTCAAATGTCATCACAGAAGCCAGGAGACTACCATTTGGAGCCTAAAGTCTTCAATATTTAAAAATTAGTTTAAGGAGTTTATTTTTAAAGTGGGAGCCAGCTGTCCTTTGTAGAGGTTATGAAGCAGAGTGAACTCCCAACAGTAATGTCTATTTCTTCAGTCTAATCCTGAGCACTTTTTTTCATCCATGGAGCACAGATTCATGCACACAGTTTTCAAAGATTCTACAGGAATACTCTTTGCAAATATTTCTGGGAGATATCTGCAACTGTTGGCATATTCATAGGGTCTCCTATTCTTGGTTGAAACAAAAAACTGACTCGCATTTCAACAAGAGGTTCTCTGGAAAGAAATCAGTGAAAATATATAGAAATGCTACAAACAGCTACAAGTGGCCATTCATGAAGGTACAACATGAAGTCAGGAGAAGCTTACAAAGACTTCCCCACAAATATCTGCAAGACCTTTTTAAAAAATGCAATAAAGGCAGCAAACATTTAAATGCAGAACTCAAAACATCCACACTGTTTTACAGGATGAAAATTAATACCTAACCCAGAGAGGAATATAGCAGGGGAATAATGTAGCAGGGGAATTGCTCTGGGCTACAACTCCCAAAGTCTCAGCAGCTGAGAAGCTGAGGCAGGGACAGAGATTGAAATAGGCAATCTTGGTGATGGAAAAGATTAAAATCAGAAGTTCACCTCAGGGTCAAAGAAGACAATTAGCTCAGTTCAGCCTGAGATTGTAGCCAGTGAGAGGGTGGAATGGTGGCTGTTGAATGGGCTTTGTAAAATAGGCTTCACTAAGGAAAACAGCCAATTTCACTTCAATTTACATGACACCATAGGACAAGGGTATAGGTGTGCAGTAAAATAGCTTGGCATGGTCCGACACCATTTCACATAGGAACCTTAAAATCATGGTGACATAATAGAGTTTGTGCCCATCAACCTGGGCTGGATTTGAACTACCTGCAGGCCCAGTCACACTATTCAGCCTCTAACGTGAGTTCCCTTTTAGTCCTAGACTATCTGCAGCTCTTTGGGATACTGTATGATTTAAAGCCTACAGATCTTTGCACTTGGCACGATATTGTTGTTTGAATACTTTAAATCACTAACTTTCTCAGAAGATGCCAAATTTATGGGCTGATGATTCAACTGCAGACTCTTACATCAAGCTCTCATCTCTTCCAAAAGAAGCCTCAGCACCACTACAGATTACTTTGCATTCTCTTACCATACGATGTGGAATATGTTGTGGAATAGAATTTCAGAAGGTTGGCATCTGCTCCAAAGCTTGTTTTTGTATAGTGCGGTGTGTGATCCACTGAAATCAAAGCCATTCTGCAGCAAATATATTTGAAAATAAAAGATTTTTATATATTAGTACATAGACTAGAGGCTAGATTTTTTTGAAATTAGGTGGAGATCATTAATTAGATTTCCAACCATTTAGACCCTAATCCAATTGTTTTGTTTGTGTTTGCATTGATAGCAGAATGCTGGCCAATTTCCAATCAACTATATTCAAATTAAGACACAACATTGGGATTTAGGAACACAAGCAACATTTTTATTTACACTGATATAGCATTTGGCCATTTCTCTGCCCATATGAAACGTTTCACCAAAATGCATTGCAAGGGGAATGCATTAAAATGCCCACTAGCAGAATTTCTAGACGCACATTTCATTTTCTTCTCTGGTTTCTAATTACCAACAGGAAAGTTTCTGTAAAATGTTCTGACGTTATTGTTTTTCTTGTTGCAATAGCCACCCATACAGAAAAGGAGGACCCAGGTTCAATTACCTTTCTCGTTTTTGTTAATCAAGCTCAGCTGAGAAAAATGGTCAGTATGTTACAATATGCATCATCGCCCAATATGGACAAAGGTAAAAGAGATTTTAATATTCGATTTCAAAATTTTAGTTCAATATTCTCTGGCCTCACTAACTATCTCCACAATTAAAAAACCCTCAACTAATTAGGCTCTTTTGATCATCTTTTTGATACACTGGGTTTGCCAATGTGAGTCTTTCCACTTCCCACATCCACTCTCTTTGTGGGTGAAATTTCGAATGAACACCAGGTCAGGAGCAGTTCAGTCTTAAAACCTCATTTCTGGATGCTGCAGGATGGGTAGACAGAGAAGAGGGTTTGAAGTATATCGTCAACTCTTGGAATGACATTTTCATTTAAGTTGACAAGGTTCCTTTGGTTGTCTTGTTTTTGTTACAGTGCAGTAATCATACCCCTTTCAAATAAAGAACTTAATTGGTAAGAGGTTATTTATGGGTTCCAAATGTAGTCTTGTGGTGTCTTGCTCCAACTATAAGCTAAATTAAGATGGTTGAAATGAATTTCACATGGACAGCAGTTGGCAGAGATTTTTATCACCTTAGTCCAAACCGGTCTTGAACATTGCTCCCAGTAACAAGACATCAGAATAGGCCAAGTTATTATGCGCACCAGGAAATCAGACAAAGCTTTATTCAGCAATTCATTGTGGATGGGATGAAAAAGAGTCACACAAGTTTCTCCCCATCTAATTAATGTTATACAACCAAAAATGGAGGACAATTATTAACATTGCTTAACATTATGAGGATCCATAGCAGTGACTAATATAGCTTGATGTTTTGGGCTGGATTTTATACCCTACTGCTGGCTGCGTTTTTCGACGGGGGTGAGGCACTAAAATGGGTCAGGTGGCCAACTCATCAACTTGCCACCCACTCTGATCCAGTCCCCACAATAGGTACCCAGTAGGCTGCCTGGCCTTAGGCCTATTGAAACTCCTGATTGCCCAGTTCTGAGCATTGATCCAGCCCCACTTCCATAACACACTGGGCAGCACTGCCAGAGTGCAAAGGACACTTTGTAAACCCTTGCATCCCCAGGAGGAGGGTTGGCCACAGACATGTGGTAGGCAGGCTTCTCCAGCACTTACTTTGGAACCAATCCTACACACTTCTGAGTACAATTAAACCTGGAGTAGAGCCTGAAAGTAAACAGTCATTTAAAATAAGTCTTTCCAGAAACTCCTTCAAAGATGTCATTGTAAAATGTAATGCTACGGACTCAGCAGGGGAGATCAAGAGGGTGACCTTGAATTGTGGACAACCTAGTCTCGCTATAACTTTTGCACAGTCTTGTGCCCAAGGTAGGATGCTGTAGTTTGGCTGTAGAGCATAAAGCCTACACCAAGGACAGCAGTTGCAAGTAACAATCCCAAGCCAAATAGCATAGAGATTGGAAGTCATAAGGTGTGTCTGATGGTGGGAGAGATCATGGCATCGGCATTAGTGCTTGTAGTTCAGTCTTTGTTCAACAAGTGAGTGTAATCCACCACACCAGGCAAACGAATAAAGCAAACAAAACTAAAGGAGATGCAAACTCTTTGATGGGCAAACTGCAATATCAGGATCATGTGCAAAAGACTGACAGATGACATGCAGTTGGTAGAATAATCATACAAAACAGCTGTGATCTACATGGAACTGAATGGGCTGAACATCCCTAGAAGAAGTCATGCCTCTTCAGCCAGAGGGTGGTGAATCTATGGAATGCATTGCCACAGAAGGCCATTGAGGCAAGTTATTGCGTGTATTTAAGACAAATAGGTTCTTGATTAGTAAGGGGGTTGAGAGTTATGAGGAGAAGGCTGGAGATTGGGGTTGAAAAAACATATCAGCCATAATCGAATGGTAGAGCAAACTAGATGGACCAAGTGGCCTAATTCTGCTCCAAAACTTATGTTCCTATTGTCTTATGGTTTTGCGAGAGCAGATCACTGAAGGAGAAATGTTACACATTCATCTGACAGGGAAAAAATTCAGAGGAAACCTGGGCACAAGAAGTAAGCTTCACTGCAATGAACTTACTACTCTTTGATGGAGTTCAACATAAATGGTTCAGAATGTGTTCTCTCCATCTAAGATCAGGGCATTGGCACCAACTGGATCTGACCATCACTTCCTGTGATTGTCTGCATAACATTAACAACACATCCAGCTATCCCAGCACTGAATGTGACACAGATTACTCCCTGTTATGCACTAGGCTGGGAATGCAACACTTCAATATTTTTCATTCAAAGTAGAAATGTTGTCCTCATATCAAATCAGCTATACTGCCTACCCAGATAAAACCAATAGCTCCTTGATCAGGTGCTGTCTGGCACTCTCACAGTGTGCAGAAACTAAATGGAACATACTTTGAGATATCATCCACACATAATGCACTCTCAATATATGAGAAGCACTAACAGCTGCTTAAAGTCTAACAGATGGTAAATGGACAGAGTGTCCATCAGGAAGCCAAATATTATGGTCCATGGTGTTGCCTTACCATCATTTACCAGCATTAACAAAGTAACCTTACAGGTTGTTGATAGCTTTCCACTTCTAGGGCTTCCACAATCACCAGCAATCTATCACTTGATGCTAAAATCAACACATGCATTAAAAAGGCTGATGTCCAAACTGAGTAAGGGAATGCAGAACAACAGCAAACTGGCTGTCTATCAAGCCTGTGTACTTTGTACACTCCTCTGGAAAGTTGGACATACATGTTTTGTAAGAGAAAAAGCTGAACAATTCCTGCCTTGCCTGCTCAGTAGTATCCCTAGCATCCCCTGGCAAGACAAGGGGATCATCTCAGAGATCCTAGAGTATGCTAATTCTCTCAATGCTAGGCCAAATATATTTGTGTTGGCTCAGCTATGTTTATCGGTTGGATAATGGTTGGATAGACAAAGACCATCTCTACGGTGAACAGGCTACTAGAGTTCCTGAGCTTCAACAGGCTTTGCTTAATGCAGAGTTGACCACCATGGCAAAAATTGTCTTCTCATGAGACAGAGGTTGTCACAACCAAGAACAGTCTTAATTGAGGAGCTGTATCCCAGCGTTTGTGGAACTCAGAGAAATCAAAACAACAGAAGAGTTGAACTTAAACAAACGATTGCCAAGATATTCTTAAAATGCTGATAACACACTCCTCCTTCCTTGATAGGATGAAATGCAGGGCTTGTTGTCATATTGTGCTTCAGTTATTTTGTAGGTCGTTTTCATCACTTTGAAGCGTATTGCCTTCAATCCATGCTTCCCAGCTGCCAACTTTTAATGCAGCAAATTTATTTTGGATTTCAGAAATGGAAGAAGATCAGCAGCGGCAATAGCTAGGTCAGTACCACAGCACATAAATACAAACTGCAGAAGGCAAAATCCCCAGAGGTTACAAGCAGAGGATAAACTTCTCGGGCGTGACACAGCAGCAACGAGACTCAAGGATTCGTGTCAGATAATTGCAGACCTTTGCAGTCTCCTGGAAGAAAACTGTGTGCTATTGGGCTTCTCCGCTACCAGCAGCCTGAGAAGTTAAAAAGAGCTGCAGCTTAACTCCCGTCTCCTGAGACAACTCACTCAATAAAGCATGAAAAGGGTTCCATGTTCGATTGCCAGTTTGAAGAATTAGGTGGGGAACAGTTGGGGAAATATAGTTGGTCTCAAGTAGAGAAAAGCAGCCAAGAACTCCTTCCTCTGGCACACAATGCAGGATATATGTACATCTGTATGTGAATGATGGATGAGATTGTCATGTTCACACAGTGGACTCACCTGCAGGCAGTCATTACCTCAGTTCACATCTGAAATAACTCAGATGAGTTGGTAGACAGCTTCCACTCACAGATCCACACTCCAGCAGGAGTCAACACATTGAGAGCAAAGAGGATAAACATGAGGGTCAAGTTTTTGGAAAAGAAAATCACTTTACCAAATTAATATGCTCATTTCTTATAAAAGATTTACCCCTTCCAAACTGAGTTCTTTTCCATTTATAGCTGTAGTTCCCAACTTCTTTAAACAGCAACTTTCCTCTTAAGATGTGCCTCCACTATATTCAATCCACACATAACTTACTAAGCACTCTCTGCATCGTGGTGTTTTCCCAAGGACGGTTCATTCTGCACAAATGTCTGTGGAAGCCCCTCCCCAAACTATACACAAATGCATTTAACTATTTTTGCAAACCCTCTTTAATTTTAGAGGAACTGTATTGAACTAAATTAACATAGCCAAATGAATATAAGAATGCAAAGAATGGCTATGATGGCTATCAAACCAGCTTCATTTACAGACCCTATGTAATCTACTCTATTGTAAACTCCACCTTACCTACTCGCAATCTTCATGCAATATGCAAAAGATTCATCGCCAAAAACAGAACAGCAAAACCCTACAGTATCTACACTTACAACCATTACTTTCCGAACCTGTTCTGTTTCTATCAACAAAAAACATTACAATCATTTCAGCCACATATTTACCACAGGACCAACAATCCCCTTTTCAATTGGACGATTATCTAACTCTTTTATATCTGATCCTAAGAATTGAGCTTTTCAGCTTTTCAAATGGTCACATTTACCAATTACCCTATTTACTTTGGGCATTGTGGTGGCAAGTTGGCTCAGATGGTTTGCGTCTAGTACTAAGACTGTAAAGGTTGAGGGTTTAATCTACTTGCTGGCATCCCTGAAAGACTAATTCAGGGCTCTTGTGGTGCAGTGGTCATGTCTCTACCTATGAGGCAGGAGGCCTGGGTTCAAGATCTACAAGGACATCTTGAATAGGTTAATTAGAAAATAGCTTTACTTCAAGCATGGTTTTTTATCATTGCTTTAGAGAATTATAAGCAGAAACATCAAGATGCTTCTCTGACAATTTCAGTCCTATTTCTTGTCAAATGTAAGTCACACAATATTTTTCCAACATTCCCAACACTTCCCTACACCCTCACGACACCTTCCCATATAATCGCAGAAGGTGTAACACCTGCCTGTTTACTTCCTCCCTCCTTATCATCCCAGGCCCCAGACACACCTTCC